ATAATAAGAAATGTGTAATTGGATGAGGTCCCCACTTTCCCTTTTCTGCATTTCACTGCTTGAAACCTCCCACCTCACAACCTGAATGTTACCTTTTTCAGGCACACAGTCCGAAGGCAGACTGTCAAAAGGGGAGAAGCAAGGCAAATGCCAAGCTTACCCCGTACCTCTGACAACATGGTTAGAGAAGAACATCTCTCCAGCAGAAGGGTGAGCATCCTTCCTCTTAGTGATCATCTGCAACATATTTTTACTGATTTTTTTTGAGTGTTTGAAGGCTGATTTAGCAAACTACAATATGGTATACAGTGTCCAACTAGACAGTTATTAGTCGGTATTCTTTCAATTATCAGCTGCATAAATAGCTTTTGGAAAGGCAAGGGCAAGAAGGTAGAAGGATCTGATTTAACCTGGGAACCTGGAATAAGAGTGCATCAGGATGGGTGATTCTTAACCTTTTGCTTCCTACTATGGCCCCAGTCCAGAGCAGGCCCTTCCAAACTCTTTGTTTGCATTGCATGAAGTGTCCTTTTGTCTCTTAAATTAGATTTTTGCCATTGCATTGACGATTACATAGCTTCTTTATACGTACATACATATTACTCAGTCTGTCATCTACTTGACAATTTATAATTGGATGTGTGAATTTATGATACAAAGCATCACTATCTGAATCCTTATGAAACTACTTCATTTGTGAAAAGATGAGTGTATATATGGACCTAATCCGCTATCTTGTAAATATTTTTACCTCTTTTGCGGTTCCCATCCCATGCAAAGAGATTCTTTAGCACCTTTGAGTCTAGCTGGAAGGAAGAAGATGGAAGCATAAGCCTTCATAGACATAAGTCTGTTTCATTAAATACATCTGATGATGAAGAGAAAATGTATTTCTCTCAATTAGTCTAAAAAATCCCTTTGTATACTAATCTAGATGAATATGGCTATCCTAACTGGCCATTTCTTTCTTTCTTTGGAGGAGGGCATTCTGAAAAATTGAAATGCCCATTATAAGGCTTAGCAATTAACACTAAGAGCTTTCAGGTAAAATGTGGTAGTATTTTTGATTCACCTTTTGGACCTACCCACCATTTGATTGCTCCCCCAAGAACATATTTGAAATGGATTCCGCTTTTGGAGTCAAATAAATTCCCCATTCTTCTACTTCATCACACTAGGTCCAGGTTCGAATTGGGAGAGAGCACATATGA